TTCGGTTATCGAAAGCGTAGAAGATATACGCACGGTATATAGGCAGAGTATAGGATACCTCTAAATTATTAATAAATAACTTCGAGAGCGTACGTAACGATATCGATGCACTTATAGCAATCGACGTCGTTTTAGATTCCGACGATAAAGGCGAATCGATCGAGCGCTATAGTAAGAGTAGTCTGCGAGCGCCGTGTTTCTCTTGCCTACTAATATAATCGATAGGTCCTAAAGCGTCTACCGGGTAACAATTAAGTAAACAACTTAAAGCCGGCGACAATGCGATAGATAGGTTAGCGGAGGCGGAGGCCCTACCTAAGAAAAACGATATTAGACTGCCTATACTATAGAGCAGTTTCTAAGCGATAGATTAGGAGCCGACGGAGGCTACTAATCCGTTTGCTTTAGTACGGGGAGGCAACGGTATAAGTGCAACCGAGACAATAGAATACAATAGAACCGAAGACAATTAATACTAAAGGTATAGATATACCGCAGTAATAGCAACAAGGAAGGATTACGCGCTAATTGCTATAGGAATAGCAGGTGTTCTAACTAGTCTTGTATAACAGACAAGACTTTATTCGCGGCGGTAAGTAATCGCGTTAGGGATGTATTAGGGCTAGAAAAGGGGGAGTAGATATAGTAGGCGGATATAGAGGCGGACGGCGGCAAAGTTAAGGAGATAGCATTTAACGAGGAGACGTAGGATCGAAGAATTAGAAGATATATAGTAAAAGAGAAGAAGAAGTCGAAAGGAAACAAGCGAAAGAAGGTAGAGGTATATCGCTTTAATATAGCCGTAGAGGACGAATAGAATACATTCTTATTAACCGTAATAAATAGATGCCCTATATAATATAACGAAATCTATTAATACTATATAAGTCGGTCGCTAAGTCGGTACTAACTTAGTATACGTAGTAGACGTATACAAATGCTAGTAGTTACCCGAGTATACGTATAAACGTTAGATGTTAGTAGAAGCAACAATCGTATAATATATAGATCCGATAGAAAATGTAATTCAAATGCTAGTACTAGTATATACGACGACTCGAGCCCGACTCGATATACAAGTCGGACGGTAAAGAATAAAATTCTAACTACGATTAGATTTGCTAGAATTTCTAGATCGCGACGATCCTATTAGACAAGATCTTTAACGTGCGATTCTAAGGATCCTAAGGATCCTAAGCGATCCTATCGATAGGATCGTCGCGATCGGTAAAAAAGTTTCCGTAACGTAGATACTATAGTCTCGAATATAGCGGGTCGACTAATCTACTATATATACGGCCTTATAGCGGCTCTATAGTAATATTCGCGATAAATACGACTTCCTCCTACGTTTCTACCTCTTCTACTTCTATTACCGTATCTACCTCTTCTGCTTCTATTACCGTATCTACTACATCTACCGTATCTACTATATCTACTATACCTACTACTTCCGCGGAGCTATCGATAGCGATAATATTATCTCCTAGCGCTAGGAAGTCGTCGATATATACTTTATATAATAGAGATTAAGCTATTATCGTTAGTATACCGATCTACTATAAGAGAAGGAAGAAATACGATATATAGGCACTATAGTATATGTATTCCCTATATAACGCGCTCTACGCCTATTAATAATACTAGCCGAGAACGTAAATAGCCTATATTAGGCGGAAACAGTACGTAATTTAAGAGATATTAATATAGGCGCGATTCTACATTAGTTCTAGCATAGGGATCTACTAGGGCTCGGGCGGGTAGCTAGGGCTCGGGGAATCCTCGAGGGTATATCCGTAGCTTTGTCGCCCTCTCTACGAGATAGTTATAAGCTACCTTATAATTTAGCTAAAATCGACACTTTACATTATAATGCCGCACCATACCGTTAGAATAGTGCTAAAGTGAGCAAACAAGACCTATAGAATATATTAAAGACCTCTATATATAATATAAACTATTAGGTAGTGTTATAGGTTTACTATATTGCTATGTTTCCTCGCTATTGCTAGGCAATAGCCCTCTAGAGGCTAGCTTAGTAGGCGACTATAGCGAAGAAGGTAGCAACGGCGGTGACGATCTAATAGGCAACTCGTGCCTATTAGATAGACCACGTAGTAGTGTAGCAGGCTGTATGTGCTAATTAACAGGTATTAGCTTATTACCGTTACTGTCGCTACTACCAAAATCGCTGCTATATATTATACTATTGTCTCTTCTAAACTGCTTTATTAAGCGCTCCTTAGCCGCCTTCCTAGTAGCAACTATAGCTTATTGCTACCTGCGGGCCTCTTCTTTGTAAGTCTATATAATAAGCTTATATAAGGGTTTAAGTAGACCTTCTTCTTTAGTATCCGGATTAATATTACTGCTAGGCTTACTACCGTAGGTAAGCACGTTGTAGACAGAAACGATAGTCTTCTTAGCTCTAGCAATCTTAATATATATGCGTATAATAGGGAAGACTTTAAGCGCTTCTAATAATAGCTTAGTAGGCTTATAAGTCTTTACTAATTAACTAGCAGTCGACTATAGGTTATAGCCTATCTTACGCAATAGTTGGACCTTGACCTTTATATTTGCACGGCCCTTAACGCTTATATTAATAGCCTTGCGACAGCGCTTCTTGTAGTTAGTCCATTGTATCCTTAATCGCCTAGCCTTGTCTCTTGCTTAGTTTAGTGCCGCCTCTTAGTCGTCAAACCTCCGCTTCTTAATAGCCCTCCTTGCTTATCTAGTATATAATAGTCTACTAGTAACAATAGGCCTCGAAGACGCTTCTTCTCGTCGTTTACGTACCCGAGTTGCCGCCTCGGTTTAAGAGAGGTCAAAGGTTGCTTAGGCGGCTAATTAAGAGTTGACTTTAGTATAGATAAATAGCCGCCTTATAACACTAGCTAATAGTAACGACAGGAGGCCTTCGAGCCTCTGTTAGAGGAAGTCGGTATGCCTTATAGTAGTCCGTACACTTATTAATCTAGTCCGACTCTCTATTGCCGGCCTAGGCACCTCTAAGTTACATAGGCGCTAGGGAATTGTTAGTAAATAGTTATCCCCGCGGAGGTATTCTAGGCTTCTAGCCGAGTCTACAACTCGGTCGGAATAGTCGATAGCAAGCGCGTCTAATCGTTCGTGTTGTTACTAGTATTATGTACTGTCTCTAGCGTTGTATTCTAGCCGAAGGAACGTTATAGCGCGCTCCGGATCGTATAGAAAGAGGCCTATCTTACGGAAAGAGGATTTAATGCTACTCGGTTTGAATGTATTAGCTCGAATAGAGTCGATTGCGGCTATAAACTCGGTTACACTAAACTAAATACAACTAGTACGTGTAGCGTCTATTATAGCCTGTTTGTAATAGTGTTTGAATAGCTAGAATAGGACTACATCTAGCGGTTAAAGGAAATGTAACGTATAAGCTAGCAGGCCGAAGATTACTATCTTGTAAGACTATACAAATTCTAGGAACTCTTAGAAGTCGTAAGAGCCGTAATTGTCGCATATTAGTATACGCCACTAGTCCTCGTTGGCTATATATCGTTTCGAGTATTTGTAGAAGTGCTAGATGTAGTAGTAGGCCGAGTTGTCGTTTATATAACTACTTTCTATTACGTCTACTAGCGTAGACGCGGACAGGTTAGTAAACTACCGTTCTTAGAGCACCTTACTAGCAGCAATTAGCATAGGTAGAATAGAGTTACCGGCGGCATTAACTAATTTAACAGAGGTTATATGCTTCCGGTTAGTCTTAGAAGCGCTCTAAGAGCGACGTTTCGGGTCTATTATAACGACGTATTCCTTACCTCTAATACTAATCCGGAAACTAGTCTTATCGAAGTTCTATATTAGCCGTAGATCAGCAATCTTATAGTATGCTATTGTCTCTCGTAGCCGTATATACTATCGTCTTATCTGCTTAGGTTTATAGGCCTCCTTCCGTACTATTTCAATCGGCTTTTATAGTACTTAGTAAAGCCTATGTTCCTTTATAAACCTCTTTGTCTAGCGCCTATCTACCGTCGGTGGATTAAGTAGATCTAGCGCGTTACGAAGAAGGATATTATTAGTAGTAACGTATAGCAATCGTATAGGAATATCTAGGCCTATTAGCTCGCGCCTATAGCAGTATTTAAGGAGGGCTGTTTACTAAGTAGGCTTTATCTTCGTATTTAGTAGCTGTCGCTTAGTAAGGGCACTACGACTACTACGACGACCTATAACCTTTAGATACCGGAAGCGAAGCTTCTAATAGTTAACGTACTCGTCGGTAGACTATTACTTAATGTTAGGTACGTAATCGTCGTAGTCGTAGTAGAAGGATAGTATCCTATCCAAAACGGCCTGAATACGGTTTTCTTCGTATACGTAGGGCGTTAATTTCGCGACGGGGCGGCGTATACGCGTACTAGCGGTTTTACGGGCACGAGGCATTGTTAGAAATTCAATAAGTACGTATAGAAGCGGTTAGGAAATTAATATGGTGGATCTGATAGTATAGTGTTGGTATTATAATGTAAAGTGTCGATTTTGGCTAAATTATAAGGTGGCTTGCAACCACCTCGCAGAGGGGGCGACAAAGCCACGGATATGCCAACCCCGGCATGAGCATAAGCTTAGTTAAGCATTAGACAAGTCCTCAAAAAAGAAAATTCGCATCAATCCCACACAAAACATTTCCATTATGCATTACTTGTCTTCATTGAGAATACACAATGACTGCACAACCATTGCCAAATCAAAGTCTTCAAATCTGTGCATCCCATTCCCCGCCACGCCCGCACCAAACCAGCTAAAGTCTGCATTCGAACGACCTCGATGCCAAAGAACTGTAATGTCATGTATCGGTATAGGTGCGTGCAACGACCCTGTCCAAACATTTTCCAAGTCCATCCCGGAGTGACAGACAGAAGCAAGGACGGACGAAAAACAAAAAGTCCAAAGTAATGCTCCGGAGCATGGCACTGTAGAAGGAATCATACTCGCATCAATCAGTGGCCACTGACCACCTCAGTCAAAGCTCTCCACTTCTCCTCATCCTCCACCAGCCAACCTCTAGATCTCATGACGCCATCGACGACATCCAAGACTTGTCGGAAGCCCGAAGCAGCGCCTTTGACCTGCACGAAGCGTGCGATCGAGAGCCCGACCTTTTGACCGCGCTCGAGGACAATGAAAAGTTCCACGCGGAAACTGACAGGCTTGATGTGGAGAGTGTTGATCTTGTCGACACGAGCTGTGATGGTGTTCGTCTCTCGGGAGTACTCGAGATCGCGAATGCCGTGTCGCTGCCACTCCTTAAAGAGCACGACCAGCTCTTGCCGAGCCCGACCTCGGGGGATGCTAAAGCAGAGGACGTCCACCACAGGCTTGATGTTGAAGAACCGAGCGAACCAGGAACGCTCCGGTCCCGCTGTCGGTGGACTGTCATTGCTAGACGGTGCTGGGGAGGTCGATGAGAATAACGAGTCCAATGATTGGTTCGTAAGCATGGTGGTATTGTCTGTAACAGTCAGCAAGCCTGGGGCATGCGTTACAACGGGAACATGCTTACCAGGCTCTGTGACCATCGTGGAGTCATCGCCTTTTTCGCGGCTCATTCGTCCAAGCCATTTCGAGAAACCCTTCTTGCTATTGCCAAATCGGTGCTTGCGGATCGGGAATTCGCTTGATTGCGCCGAGAGTGGTGGCTCATCGGGCAACGATTTGCTGTTAGGCGAGTTTCTTGTGAGGCGCGACGAGCGTCCTCGAGCATCGCTCTCGTCGCTTGCGGTCAGCATAGACTTAGCAGCCTTCGAGGCCGGGCGTCCTGATTGTTCATCTTCCTCCAAATCCCTCTTGATCCTTCCGAACCAGCCCGAGCGTTTCTTTCGTACTAACGTCGGTGTGCTCAGGGTTGTGTCTTCGTCGATGGACTCTAATGCAGAGACGTCGGCAGCGACTGTATGTTTGCGACGAAGTGCATCGCTCGACGCTTTTGTCGTAGGCCTCCTCTGGACGTCCTTGCTGAGCTGATTGCCGCTGCTGCGTTTGCGGACATTCAAAGGAGCCACGGTGCCTGGCGACGAGGGGGGAACAACACGAATGGTGTGATCCTCGGGATTCCTCTCCTTGGCTACTGGAGCTGTCACACTACGATGCCAGTTGCCTTCTTTGCTGCTTCGCTGATCGCTACCTTCTTCCGAGATAATTGGCAGGAACCCATTTTGCTCCGACTGCTTGCCACTTTCCGGTGCAGATACTATCCGTCTCTCCGAAGCTGGACCACTTGTGGGCATAATGTTGTCAAGCATCTTCATGACCTCCTCGATTCTCGCGGTGTTGTCTTCGCCGCTGCCCTTGTAGGTGGCTAGCTTATACTTTGTTTCTTCCAGAGTCCGCGTCAAATATGAGTTTGGAGTATCCTTCGGTGGGTCTGGTAATGGCCGTGGTGTTGGTTCTGTCGCCGAAGGCAGGCCTGGCGTAGTATCTGATGGCTGAGCCGCGATAGATGAAGGAGGAGTGTCATAAGGCGAAGGCTTATCTGTGAGAGAAGTCCTGGCAGTAGTGCTGGAATTGTAAGAGTCTCGGAAGAACGCTTCCTCACAAGCTTTCTCCAGCTCGGCGCTGTGCTTTCGAATCTGGCTGCGCATATGATCGCCAGGAGTATCGAGAGGCTTTCGGACTTTGATACGAGGCGTCTCCAGCTTATTCGATCTCTCTTTGCGCGATTTGATGGGCTGTGCCACATGGGCTGTGGGACTATCCTCTGCGAAATGTCTAGCTTGAGCCTTGACTCTGGCTTGGTGGTCGCGTAGGTGAACGGGCAAGCTTGGCGTGACTGGCGTCGAGGCATTGGTCGAAGACATTTGCGATGTCAACGCGCTGGCAGTTGAGACCCGACGTATATGACCGAAGCTTACACCACGCTTGTGAACGTCCGATGGACGCATAGTGATGGGAATCGGCGGACTGCTGGGCAGCAGTGTGCTCGTCAAAGAATGCCGCGACATTGACGACCGTGGCAATGTTGATCTGCTCCTACCGGATCGAGGCAAGCTCGATGAGGATACGTTAACCGACTGACGGCGATGAGCATACCTGAGAGTCTCGATCCGTGTAGAGTTAGGATGTCGCAGATTACGGCCCACACTTGCCCTCCTTGTGCTGCTGGTTGCAGTACGATGGACCTTGATGTTTACGTATTCGCCATTGGAGTTCACGATTGGATCTCTCGAAGCTCTGTACGGATCATAGCTGCTGACAGATGGAGGCGGCGCGACAAAGCTGTGACTAGGTCGTAGATGCTCATCGTTCATGATTGAGTACTTGGACTCGGAACGCTGGGCGGCTGTCGGTAGAGGAGGTGGATCGTCACCCCTGAGCGGATGGTTGTGGTGATAGTCGCTTGCCGAGTAGCTGATATCATCAGGCTCCCCAATGTAGTTCTCCAAGTTCTCTTCGCGATGCTTGATCAGTGCAGCATAAAACAACTTTTCCTGGTTGTACTCATTGTTCAGCAGTTTCTGGACCAGACTCTGCTCTGGCTCGCTGTGCCAAAGCGTTCGCATGTTGCGCAACAGCTCGCGATCAATGTCCTGTATACGATGCACGCGCCATTCATCGAGCTTGGGTATATCTCCGACTGCTGCCTCCTTTGTACCATACTCGCCAGTGAAGCCGAATTGCCGATCATATTTGTGGAGTAGAGGATGGTCCCAAACTTCGTCCATTGTGATTCGCTTCTTGGGATCGGCCACGAATATCCTCCTGATGAGATCTCTGGCTTCGTGGCTGAGGCCCTCGGGCATGAGGTAGTTCGCCGCTAAGATTTGACGGAACAGTGTATGGATCTTTCCGCTAGCGTCATAATTGTAGGGCGTGGTGCCAGTGAGCATCACGTAGAGGATGACACCGCAGCTCCACACATCGGCCTGATGTCCATCATATTCCTTACTCGGTGTGTTCACGAGTTCTGGTGCAGCATAGTGAGGGCTGCCGCAGGGTGTGCTGAGAAGCCGGCCTGGTGGCTGTAATGCAGCCATGCCAAAGTCGATGAGCTTCACGGTCAAGTCCTCCTTGTTGAGCAGGATGTTCTCCGGCTTGAGGTCGCGATGGCAGATAAGTAATCTGTGACAGTAGAGGAGGGCAGAGACGATTTGTCGAAAGATGAGAACAGTCTCGTCCTCCGGGAGACCCTTCCTCTCGTCAACGTAGTGAAAGAGTTCGCCACCATCGACAAATTCCATGATCAAGTATCTGATTTGCGACTGTCAGCAAAGGCACTAGTCTTGGTAAGACCGAAACTCACAGTTCGTTACGATTCTCCCACACATCATACAAGCGGACGATGTTTGGGTGCTCCAGAAGCTTCATGACTGCAATCTCCCTCTCCAAGCCGTGCGGAATTGGTTTGTAGCCAGCAGGTGACACGGCAGAGGAGCCTTTCGTGCTCTCGATGAGATTGGCCAGACTTTGAGCACGAGTGCTTTCGGCAGCCTTTCTCGTGATGATCTTGACCGCGCCCAACTGGTCTCGGTACCTGTGTCGAACAATACGGACTCGGGAACAGCCGCCTTTGCCGATCGTCTTGCCCAGTTGCCAGTGGCCGATAAAGGCCTTCCGCTTCCGCGGCGATGCATTTGTCGAAGTCGTTGAGATGGCCGAGTTGCGCTTCGAATCGCGTTCGTATTCGCTGGCGATGTGCGAGACTCGTTTGTTCTCCGGTGAGTAGGGCCGCTCATTGCTGCGAACCGCCAAGGTGCCATCCGCCTCCAAAGACTCGTTGTGAGGAAGAGCAGGATGTGGTGAGGTGTCGAGCTTTGCATGGCGCGCCTGCTGCTTCGATACTGGTGGCGTGTTGGCCTTGTTCTTCAGCTCAGTCAGGGGCTGTCTTTTGGCCGCGCACCGGCTGCTTCGATAGCGCTCGGCCATGAGTTAGACAGGGTGGAATGGCTGCATACGCCGGAGCTATTCGTCTGAAGATGCCCAAAGTTCTGTGCTGTACGTGCTGCCGCGCGGAGATGACGATGCTGTTTGTGTATGTCTCACGTGCTATCCAAATCTCTCGATTTCCAGCTGGATCCGCGCTTTGTGCCTGTGACACGAGGCGCGTTACTTTCGTGCTCCAATGAATATGTCGTTGAAAGTGACCGGCTCGACGGGCGGGCGGGGAGGGCGCTGAAGCGAAGGGAAGCGAGAGGACAGCGTGCGGCGATGGGCAAAGCCACCAGCTCTACCCTCTGGCAGTGGAGGAGCAGACGACTCGAGTCTGCTCGACAGGAGCGAGTATCTCCTGCTGCTGGACGGAAATGCAGATGCAGGGCGGAGCTGTCAAAGTCGCAGTGGCTTCCCGCCCGGATGTTGTTGATGCTGGTCAAGGAAAGGTCAAACGAACCCACGGCAGGCGGAACGCAGAGTCGAGATTGATGGCAACTTAGCTTGCTGCGCGGGCAATGGTGCGCGCGTGAGAGGGAATTGTGCTGGGGAATGAAGGAAGGTGGATTTGTTTGGACTCGCCAGCACAGGAGGCCGTTTGGAATGTGCTTCGGCTGCATCCGAGCGACTTCTTCGAGCATGCACGTCGACTACATCTACATGCGCTTTGGAGTCCTACTGGCGCACCAAATATGCCAGTCTCCCGTGGCTTCGCGCGTGGTATGGGCGCACGCGGCAACGCGCATCTGGCGACATGGCGGTTAACAATACAGTAGGAAGTCTGGGGAGCAGCACTCACAGAGCTTTTGCCGAGCTTCAATGCTACAGTCATTCAAGTGGCCCAGCCGCTGGAGCCAGACGTCTTCAGCTCCCCGATTGTCATGTCATGGAGAGAGCGATGCTCGTGCCTGGCTGCGGCAATGCTTCATTGCTATCCTGTGCTCCCCATCCTGCTCTTCTACACGAGGCATGTCTTCTGCGCAACCCATCACTCTACAGCACACGCCGCCCGGCCTTGCACACCTCCAACGCGTCTGGTCACGTTTCTATCCACGCCGTCTCTTTCTTGCCATCCGCACTTTCTCCGTCTGTGACCTCTTCGCAAATCCGCTCGAGCTCGAAAAGGTAGCCGCGCTCGTCCGGTGTAGGACAGGTTCTGAGCATAGGTAACGGTGATTTCGACGTGGAAAAAGAGACAGTCGCCGCTGCGCTGCCCTCGCACAAAAGAGCGCCTCACGCTCTGCACGTATCCGTTGCGACACATTTGCGTACCTGGCTGGTGGAAGGAAGGTACCTCGTCTGCAGCTTGCCTTGCCTGGCCTGGCATGGTTGCGAACGCTACCCGACAGCGTGGGAGCCAAGGCGAAGATCCATGCAACACTGGCAAGCTTTATATGCACCTCTCACAATGGGGACAGATCCACCACGAACGATGTCCAGCACGCTGCCCTTGACTGTAAGACCGTGCATCTCTCTTTCGAGAAATTGCTCTCATCAAAGGCAGCGAACGAGACACGAGGCCAGGAATTGCGGAGCTGCATTTCCGGAGGGCCAGCCTCGCACTTGTCCGGAAATGATTGGATTCGCATCTATCGTCCAACGTCGGTCGGAATTGCTCGGTCGTCACCATCTTTGATGAAAGGGAGAAACCCCGAACGCCGCCGATGTGACAGCTAGACGGACGGCGTGCTTGAGCGAAGCTGCTCAGATATCTCATCGCAACTCGCTGGGCGGCAGATCATTGCGGCATACCGCATCGTAGATCACCATCGATCGCTGCAGGCTTTGTTGCACGTAGATTGATCTGGGTGGAGCCAATGCATGCAGTCTGGACTAGGGTTGATCATAACAATACTGCTGGTTGATTCATGCTGTTCGCTATGTCTGGCGCTGCACAAGCTACTGTCGCTCATTGTGAGGGATTCAGTCCAGGTCCTGCATACAAGAATCCCTCCCGCACACACGCGCAACGCTCTCAAGCCGCTGAGCAAGTCTCGCGTACGCTTCACATCCATTCCTGTAACACAAAATCCCGTCATTCATTTGACAAGTCCTGATTCCAATGGACTGATTCCAGATGTGCTTCCGAATCAAAAAACTCCTCTTGTGCACCCGGCTCCTCGCTCACCCGCCGCTCGTTTTGGCCATCCCATTCGTAACGCTAACGTAATAATTCGTATTCAAGTTATACAATGCCAAAGAAGGGTATCGTCAAACAGTAGAAGCAAAGAACACGTAGTAAGACTACGCGTGTGCTGAGATTACGGGACTGTGTCCTACGCTCTCGCTTTTGGTTTCAGGTGACTGCGATCCGTCAAGCTCCTTGACTTCCGCAGAGGCGCCACCTGCCTTGCCACAACCTTTGACTAGGACGTGTCGCTGAATAAAGTGTTAGTACTTGTACGTGAAAGCGTTGAAATCTACAGTGAGCTCACCTTGAGCGCGTCCTTACGCGAGAAACTCTTGTCGCAATGGCCGCAGGGGAAAGGCTTGACAGCCAAATGAATGCGCTTATGTCGCTTAAGATCGTGATTTCTATTGAAGCTCTGTGGGCACTGGTCGCATCTGAACGGTCTGTCGTTTTGTGGATTGGGAGCATGTTGGCCGTAAATGTGGTGCATCTGTGCTGCATGTCCGCTGTTGAAGTGTGGGACCATGCCATGAGGCATGCCTCCGACGATTGACGGGTTGTGGACGTTGGAGAGCACTGGTCCAGGTCCTGGCATTGGGTAGCTATAGGGGCGGTGCTGGGCATATGCCTGCTGTGGCTGCTGTTGATGGATGGATGGCACTGGGCCTTGTTGGTGGACCGGAGACATTTTCCCGAGTGGCCCACCTGCGCTGATTGGGCTCTGCGCGATGGGAGATGGGCCGGTAGAGTAAGAGAAGCCCCCCTGTTGTGGATTCGATGACTGCTGCGAGTAATATGAAGTGGTTGGCGTGGGCGGGTGCCTGGCAAATGATTCTTGGCTGTGCACCGGGGATGGTTGGCTCACTGGAGCAGAAACCATCATGTGTTGATGAGCTGGCGCGGCGGGCGCCGACATTGGCATGGAAGACGCCGAGTAGCTCTGCATGTCGTATGGAGGTGGCGGTAAAGCTTCGCTAGCGGTGGGGGAGTTGCTTCCGCGCACGATCGAGTTCAGAGAGGGTGAAAAAAGCCCTCGGCCCTGTCCAGAGAAATGTGGAGCGCTGCCAGCTGATGAGTATCCGTATGATGAGCTGCTGGTCGTTGATGGTGGCCACATTCCACCGCCGTTAGGCGTAAAGGGCTGAACCGCGCCGCTGCTAGGCAGAGGATTGCTCGAAGCCGGGCTGATACCGTCGGTTGAGCCGTTGCTTGGAGGTGTCAACAAGTTACCGACGCTAGTCAATGTGGTCGCAGGAGCTGGATGACTATAGGATGCGTACTTCTGATGGTGCGAAAGCTGGACCGGCGGTGGTGGTAGCTCAAAGGCTGGGAGGTTGTGAGCGTTTGGTCTCCGGGCTGTGAAGCTGGTTGGAGCGCCCATATGGTCCTGTCCAAGTCCCATTGAAGGAGGGTACGCTACTGCTGCAGCCACGTTTGCGGTTCGACGATCGACGAAGCCGAGAGGCTGGTAATCTGCAGGTGGGGTTGGCAGCGGAGTGACGAACGAAGGTGAGAAGGAAGGCGCAGAGAATTTCTCAGCGTGCCAGGAATCACCCGGTGAACAGCGAGTGAAAGCCACGGAGGGCGGTTAGAGCGGCTTATTGAAGCGGCTTATGGAGGTAGATAGAGTGTTGCCAACGATGGACTTGTTGTAGCGATCGATGGTTGTCGATTGCTTGTGAACGATGCAGGATCCGAACAGCTGGGTACGAGCAGGCTTTGTACTCAAGCCAGACACCGAGTCGCTGGTATCAGAGCGCCTTGGGCGGCGAAGGAGAATGCTCGAGCTGGGGTCGAGTGTGTGCCGATTCGGTCGCAGGTGACGCACGATGCTGCAGGAAAATCCGAAGCCGTCACAAATCAGGCGTTCGGCGTGCAAGGCCTGGGAGATTGGGCTCACAGTGGTATATCGTGCAATCGGACCGCCTGGTTGTCCGTGAGCCGGGCAGGCGAGATCTCTGTCGACCCAGAGGTGTGGTCGCGCAGATGCTGCGTTACACCCTGGTTGCACAGGGGTGGGTTGCGACTGATATTATTCTGATCCTTTGTGGGAGAAAATGTCCGAGGGTCTCCAGCAGAGGCAGGCCAGCGTGGAGTGGGTCGAATCGAAGCTGATCTGGAGCACGGAAGCTGCGACGGTGAAGGTCAGGGACCGTCGCAAGAGTCGTTGTTGGAGCGTTCGACGTCGACAGGCGCCGAGAGGGCGAAGAGGCGCGGTACAGATCTCGAGACGGAAAGCAAATGGCCACGAGGTGAAGTTGCAGTCACGGAGTGCGGGCGCTTTGAGATGTGGGCGTGGCGATCCTTTGTTTAAGGTCCAGCCCCAAGCAGCCTCCGGTCCTGCGGGCGTGGACGTATATGTACAGAGGACGGGTAGGGAGGGAGGCAGTTAGCGTGGCTTCCTGAAATCTGGATCGGCTAGTTAGGGTAGGGTCGATGCTGAACTTTCCCGTGTTTGGAAGCAGGCTAGCGAGGCTTGATAGCGACGGGAGGAAAGACACAGACACAGCGGACACCGGTGCGAAGTGTGCGACGCATGGTGGTGTGTGCGGCGGGCCTCATCTCGCCTCGCCTGTCTGCAGCGCGTCTGCTCCCCAGAGCCACTATCATCTCTGCTTCTGAAGCCGATGCAGGTGAGTGAATGCCTGCTGCGTGGTGGGCGACGGCGCGGTCGCGGAGCACGCAGCATCGCAGTTCACGACCGGTATTTGGAAGGCCGCGCTGAGATGCTGTCCCGTTCTGGCAAGGAGGGCCAACACGGACAACAAAGCGCCCACCATGCAAGCGATATGCCTTTGTTCATCACACTGGAGATCCTTTCCGTGCCGCTGATCCCTGTCACCAAGCATGCAGCGATTGGGCATTAGTGTTTCGCTTTGGCCAGCCTGGTCCATGCAGTTCCGAGCTGAAGGATACTCTTTGGGCGGACCAAGCGTTTCTACCTGCGCCCGCCACAACGACACGCCTGCTGGACCAAGGTTCCGAGGCCACTCACCTCATCATCGTCGCGCCAGCTAGTCGCCCATGGCTGCTGTTGGCTCCAGGGCAAACGCCTGGATCGCGCAATGCATCTGAGACATTCTCACAGTTTTTGCTGCAAGAAGGCGACAAAGGCACTGTACGATAAATTAGCAACCAGCAGGCCTGATGACCAGTGCTTGACTGGACAAACGACCACGACAACAATCATACGCGCGCAGTTGAAGCTTTAGCTGGCGAAGGTGCAGAATCAGATGGCCGGATCGCAGTCGATTCGGAGCAGACCAGGCCAACCTTGACATATCGAATGCTTAGCAAGGCAGGTGTGGTCGTAGTAGTAACAGTCCTTTGGTGCTGGCAAAGTCTGCTGCTTGTTGTGAACAGCTCATCTCTGCTGCTCACGCGCTTCCGGCCCCCGTAGCGGTACCTCATCTCGCGTGCGCTTCATCTTCGATCACCAGACAACAGGGCAAGCGAATCACGACGCGGAAGACATCATGCGGCAGGCAACAGGGCAGGGGTGTCTGAGAGCATTCGAGACGACGACGAGCCAGCTGCACGACAAAGATAGACTCTGCAAGTATCCTCGGCTGGCTCCCGGATCAGCGTAGCGTAGCTTGAAATTAGGGCGTGGCTCACAGGCCGTAGCTCTCTTTGGTCTGGATGCCACGTGCGGATGATGCAGAATTCAGAGGTTGTCTTGCATGTCAGGAAATTTAGCGTACCACTGTTGTAAACAGTGGTTTACTTCCGGAGGGCGTTATCTATTGACTCGGTATAGTTTGCCTAGTATTTGACGGTGCTTTTCCTCTTCTAGTACCGTAATAACCTTCTTAGTTATACTTCTAGTTCTAACCTTATCTCTATAGCTCTTTCTTATATATAGATCTAGCTCTTTCTATAATAGCGTAAATAGCACCTTCTTATTGCTATTATTCTTATCGCTATACTACCTATCTTATCTAAACTAGTGCCGCCGTTTAGGCCGGATCGTATACTATATAATATAATCGATATTCGAGAATAGCTATTTAATATACTAGAGCATAGATTAACGTACGATCCGGACCGTTTCGAGGTATTAAAGGCCTACGTAAGCAATATATATAAGGAGTCGAGGTCGGCGAGAACGAAGGATAGCTTAGAGTAGCGGTCGTACTAGTATTATCGTTATAGGCGCGATTAGTAGCGAAATAGGGTGCTTCTAGATAGTATTCGTAAGGCTAAATACAATAAAGAGCCTTATAATACCGTAGTAGTCGTTATATCGCATTATCGGAAGGGGGCCTCTAAACTATACGAAATTAGTATCTACCGCTATCGAGTCGACCCTTCCGTAGTTAGTAAGGACCTATATTACTATAACCTAAGATATATAGATATTAGGTTATTAAGTAACGCTCTAAGGGTGTTTCTCGAGGAGCTAATAGAATAGCGCAAATTTAATGTAGCTAAGGTGCTAGATTTCGTTAGAAATAGTCCTTCGAAGGACGAGTTTAGTAAGATAGGTAGGCAGTATATAAAGGCAGGCACTATTACGTAGTCGAAGGTTAGGCCTAATTTAAGGAAGGTACGTAGTAACGACCGTAGAAATGCGAGTATCTAGCTAGACGACCTTTCTATCGCCCTCTAAGGCCTCTATAACGACCTAGATAGCAGGCCGCTCTAGTATTAGATAATAGAGAAGAAAATAAAGGGCAAGGTAGAGCGTAGCATTGTCTTCTAGACTAAGTAGTAGCGACAGTTATTAAATACCGAGGTAGGGGATGTAAGTGTAGGTATTGTTATTATTGTTACTATAGAAGGCGCATAACTAAGCTTCTAAGGCTTGCGTTCTACAGTTCCTATAACTAACTTTAAAAATTTAAAACATTACTAACTTATATACTATATAGTTATTCTTACTAGACGCAACTTATAAGACTACCGACCTTAGCTAGAATCTTTTTACTATCTATATTCGTAACTAGTTAGGGTGTTAGTTGCTAGTAGGACACTTATTGCTAGAATCTTAGAAAGCTAAGCTAGTAGAAGCCGGTCTTCGAGTTATTAAGAATTAGTTACTATACTAGAATGCTATAGCCGCTATAATCGACGACTCGGCCTCTAAGTAGGCGGCAATTAACCTATCCTAGAAGGAGAAACAGGTACTTATTTACCTCTGCTAGCGGTACGTTAAAGAGACCTTCTTTCGCTTATTTCTAGAGGCCCAATTTCTAGAGATTATTAAGCGCTTTTACTACTCGATCTACTACGCTCGAAGCTCCGCCGACGTCGGTAACGATATAGTATAGATATAGGACTAGTTAAAAGAGAATAAGCCTATAGACTAGCAAAGCAAGGTAGAATATATACGGCACAATTAGGCTAGTTACACGTTACGGAAATAGGCTACTTAGGCAAGGCTTTATAGCCTATTATTGATGCAAATAAGGACTACTTCGCCTTTCGAGGATTATTACTATGCTATTAAGTTTGAGCGTAAGCGCAGCCTCGTACGCTACAACCTCTATAGCACTATCCTCGAGGTTCTTAAGGTAGACGACAGGCAGGCTTATAAGGCACAACTAGCTAGCTATAGGATCGGCAAACGCATACAATATTAGTATAAAAAGGGACTTTTAGGCTTCGAGAGTCTGTAGCTACTAGCGGCTTAAGATCGCCTTCGAGAATAGGTAGATATTGCTATTAAAATAGAGGCTAAGGCAGCACCTATATATAAGGGCACACTATGTAGTTATAACA